AGAGAGCTACTTAGGGGATTTTTTCCGGTTTGAATATTTGATGAACTATCAATGATTATTTATAAGAAAAAAATTGGATTTTTGACCTTTAAACAAAAAAAAAAATGTTTAATATGAGACCATTTATCTTTGTTCTAAGAAGGTAACAATTACCCTTATTTTAGGTGGGTCAAGAAGTTCCATATTTTTATTTTATTTATTTTTTTAAAACTTTGAATCTAATCAATGACAATCTTACAACTACCCATTTTAAAATATGATGGACAAATGATTGATTGTCTCCTTACACTAAAAGTAAAAATACGATGAACCAATGATTGTTCGCCTCCTTACACTAAAAGTAAATAGTCTCTCTATACTTTTCTTTAGGTTCCAAAAAGTAGAAGGTCTTTTCCCTCACAAAACATTTATTTTTTTGAAGCACATAATGTGGGTTTATTTTTCTTTATTAAAATTTAACATTTTTTTTATTATTTTGACCTTGGTCACAAAGTTTGATTCCTAAAAGTACTCCACTCTTAAAAAAGTACCGCAAGGGGTGCATGGAGGAAATGCTCCCGCGGAAGCACCTGATGCCATTTTCCTCAAAATTCAAATAATGTCAAGCCTTATTATCAAGATACCTAAAGGTATTCAATGAAAAATTGTACACAACAAAAGATAAATCAAAACTTCAACAAGTGTTCTGGCGGTGCACGTCTTGTCCGCCCATGGGAAATATCCAACCCAATACCCCAATAGGCACCGTCCAACAATGTTTATCTTTGTTTATTATATCCTACGTTCTATTTCATGTTGAGTTTATGGGATTTGTTTTAGTGGACCTACTATATGTACCTTTCCTTTTGGTAGTCCCCTACAAAAACATGCCAAATTTTTGACTACCCCCACTTCAAAATTTCCGCCCTTGAAATTGGGTTAAAACAGTAAAAACTCATGAGCATATTACAAAGGTACATTTTTTTTAATGTAAATTTCGGGTGAGGTGTATATAAGGTGCGTACCCTTATACTGCACAAGCAAGGCGCACTTGAATTTTATTGAAAGATGCAGATCCGGTGTAAAAAACCTTATAATTGCTAAAAAAAATTCATGTTCGACCCTCGTTATAAAACTTAAAAATTTATAAAACTAAATTGATAGAGTAGATCTATAAACGCTTCAAAATCTTGAACATAGACGGTCGAGATAACTTGTTACAAGATCTATTGTTTTGGGACTTGAAATTCAATTCTTTCTTTAAGGATTGTAAATTATGAGACAATTTATCTTTATTAGAAGGAGGTGACAATTACTACCCTTAGCTATTGGATGTCAAATTAAATAGCTTAGGGTATATCATGAAGTCCGAGAAATTTTTTTTGATCCTTGAGCCAGTAAATGACACTCTTAAAACCACTCGAATTGAAAGCTCATTGACGTAATGTTTTGAACATCCTTATGCTAAAAATAAATTGCTTATTTATATTCTTTTTCTATCCGAAAAAATAAATTTAAATTTTTTTCCATTGGGTAATAATTTTTGGAAAATTACATATAACCCCCAAGACTAAACTTATTGTGCAACTTACCCCCAACTATTTTCTTCCTCTCACTTTTTCCCTAAACACAATGTTTCGTAGCAAATACCCCCATCCACCCCCAAAAAATTTTAAAAAAGCAAAACTACCCATACTGTACCTTTTACCCACACCTTATGTCCTCCTATATTTTACCCTTTACCCTCTCTTTTTCCTCTTTCCCACGAGACCTAATTTCCACTGGCCATAGACGCACTCACGACCCGAGCTCTGTCCCTCTTTCTTACCCACTGTCCCGGCCCGAGCTCTCTCCCTCTCCCTCTTCAAAGGATTTTTTGGATCAAGTCCTACCTTCTCTCTCTCTTCTACGGTCTCCTTGAATCCAAGGCTCGATCTCTCTCTGTGAAACAACTATCAATTTGTTCGGCCCAGCCCAAGTCACTTAAAAACAGTGTCACCACCACCTAAAAGCAACACGTAACTGCAGTTCTCCTTATTATTAATTAACATGTAATACCACCCAAAAGCAAAAAAAAAATAAAAATTGATAGCTCTAACAGTGGATCAAGCGCTCCGGCACTGTGTAGGTGCGCTCCGACAGTGGAACACTTTGGAGTCACAGCGCTCTGGTACGGTGTATGTGTGCTCTGGCAGTGGATCAAGTGCTCGGGCACTACGTAAGTGCGCTTCGGAACTGCGTAGTGCACTCTGGCAGTATAACACTCTGGAGTCACAGTTCTCCGGCACTGTGTAAGTGCGGTCTGGCAATGGAGCACTCTGGAATCACAACGCTTCGGCACTGTGTAAGTGCGGCTCAGCAGTGCAACACTCTGGAGTCCTAGGGCTCCGGCATTATGTAAGTGCGTTCCTACAGTGAAACACTTTGGAGTCACAGCACTCCGACACTATGTATATGTGCTCCGGTAGTAGATCAAGTGCTCCAGCACTGCGTAAGTGCACTCCGACAGTGGATCACTCTGGAGTCACATTGCTCCAGCACTATGTAAGTGCGGTTTGACATTGTGTAAGTGCGGTCCGGCAGTCAAGCACTCTTGAATCACAACGCTCTGGCACTGTTTAAGTGCAGTCCGGCAATGAAACACTCTGGAGTCCTAGGTCTCTGGCACTGCGTAAGTGCGGTTCGACAGTGGATGATGCACTCCGACACTATGTAAGTGCGCTCCGGTAGTGAATCAAGCGCCACCATGTAAGTGCGCTCTGCCAGTGGTTCCATCACTGTGTAAGTGCGGTCCGGCAGTGGAGCACTATGGAATCACAACGCTTCGACACTGTGTAAGTGCGGTCCGGCAGTGGAGCCTTATGGAATCACAACTCTCCGACACTGTGTAAGTGTGGTCTGATAGTGGAACACTCTAAAGTCTCAGGGCTCCGGCACTGTGTAAGTGCGGTCTGGAAATGGATGATGCGCTCCGGCACTGTGTAAGTGTGCTCCGATACTGGATCAAGTGCAAATGCGCTCTGACAGTGGAACACTCTGGAGTCACAGTGCTCCGGCACTGTGTAAGTGCGGTCCGGTAGTGGAGCACTCTGGAATTACAATGCTCTTGCATTGTGTAAGTACGGTCCGACAGTGGAGCACTCTGGAATTACAACGCTCAAGCACTGTGTAAGTACGGTCCAACAATGGAACACTCTGGAGCCCCAGGGCTCTGGCACTGTGTAAATGCAGTATGGCAGTGGATGATGCATTCCGACACTATGTAAGTGCGCTCCGACAGTGGATCAAGCGCCACCACGTAAGTGCACTTCGATAGTGGAACACTCTAGAGTCACAATGCTCCTGCACTGTGTAAATGCAGCCCAACAGTGGAGCACTCTGGAATCACAACGCTTCGACATTGTGTAAATGCGGTCCGATAGTGGAGCACTCTGAAATCTTAGCGTTGTAAGTGCCGTTTGACAGTGGAACACTCTGGAGTCCCAGGGCTCTGGCACTGTGTAAGTGCGGTCTGACAGTGGATGATGCGCTCCGGTACTATGTAAGTGCGCTCCTGCAGTGGATCAAGCGCCACCACGTAAGTGCGCCTGACAGTGGAACACTCTAGAGTCACAGTGCTCCGGCACTGTGTAAGTACGGTATGGCAGTGGAGCACTCTGAAATCATATCGCTTTGGCACTATGTTAGTGCGGTTCAGCAGTGGAGCAATCTGCAATCACAGTGCTCTGGCATTGTGTAAGTACAGTCCGACAGTGGAACACTCTAGAGTCCTAGGGCTCCAACACTATGTAAGTGTGGTTCGGTGGTGGATGATGCACTCCGACACTGTGTAAGTGCACTCCGGCAGTGGATGAAGGGCCACCACGTAAGTGTGCTTCGACAGTAGAACACTCTGGAGTCACAGTGCTCCGGTACTGTGTAAGTGCGATCCGGCAGTTGAGCACAATGGAATTACAACGCTTTGGTACTATGTAAGTGCGGTCCAGCAGTGGAGCACTGTGCAATGACAGCGCTCTGTCACTGTGTAAGTGCAGTCCGACAGTGGAACACTCTAGAGTCCCAGGGCTCTGACACTATATAAGTGCGATCCGGCAGTGGATGATGCACTCTGGCACTGTGTAAGTGCGGTCCGGTAGTGGATCAAGCGCTATCACGTAAGTGCGCTCGAGCAGTTGAATACTCTGGAGTCACAATGCTCCGGCACTGTATAAGTGCGGTTTGGCACTGGAGCACTCTAGAATCACATCGTTTCGGCACTGTGTAAGTGCGGTTCGGCAGTGGAGCACTCTGGAATAACAGCGCTCCAGCATTGTGTAAGTGCAGTTCAACAGTGGAACACTCTGGAGTCCCAGAGCTCCGGCATTGTTTAAGTGTGATCCGGCAGTGGATGATGTGCTCCGGCATTGTATAAGTGCACTCCGGCAGTGGAACACTCTGGAGTCACAATGCTCCGGTACTGTGTATATACGATCCGACATTGGATCTAGCGTTCCGATACTGAGATGGTTCGCTCCAACAATGTGCTCCGAAAGTTAACCTGAAATCTGGCCAAATTGATTTTTGTGTATGGAAAGGGAATTTCTATCTAAAAAATGAACTTTTCCTCTTGCGGGTATCTGCATATAAAGTTTGTTTTTGAGAAAAAAAAATAAGAGAAAAAACTCGGTCCGATAAACTACATACAAAGTGTTTGGTTTTGGTTTTTTGTAATTTCCCCTATTTTTTCTATAGATTTTTGAGGTGCATCTTACTTCTGCACCCTAATAAGTATGATTCCACTTTTCACCACAAATATATATAAAAAGTAAGCAACCGAAGCGAGGCAGAAAGGGTTAAAAGGAGAAACGGTATTATCCGTTAATGATACGTGGCGATCGGGTGTTGGTTAAGGGTGGTGTGACCACTTGGAAGTCAGGCGGCCCCACGTGTTGCTTATCCATTTAGTAGTGGAGGTGTTTTTGGTTTTTATTGAGAAATTTTAGGATATTGCCCATGTTCATTTCTTCTCCTTCAAAGTACCCGAGAAATTTTTAGAGAGAGAAAGAGAGTTTTTAGAGAGAGAAAGAGAGGTGGAGGCCTTTGATTTGTGCGCATAGAGATTTGCATGTGGATATAAATATGGCCATCCCCCCTGCCATCTTCACATGGCCCTTTGTTGCAGAAGATTGACTCAGCAGTTAATGGTAGTTTGGATTTATACACCCATTCACAAAAGAGACAAACAGTTTCTTCTCTCTCTTTCTCTTTCTCTTTCTTCCTCGTGGGTTTTTTTTTTTATTTTCTCTGATTTTTGAGGCAGATTTTCTCTGGTTTCCTTTGAGTCTCTGTTTTCTCTTGAGGCGGTTTTTATTGACTGTTTTTAGGATTTGAGGTTGCCATTTACTATCTTGGGCTTCTCTCTTTCTCTATAAAGGTTTTCAGTGTGGGCAGTGGGGGAAAATTAGGTTTCAGGATTTGGGTTGTTTTCATTTCTCTTTCTCTCTCTTGGGTATTTGAGTTTCTCTCTCTTTTGGGGATTTTTGGATTCTTGTCCTCTCTCTTTCGGTCGGCTTTCAGGTTCTTTCTTTCCCTCTCCTGGGGTCAATTGGGGTTATCTGGATTTTGGGTTTTGGGGTGGTTTCCCTCTAGCTCTTGCCGCAAATCTTATTGCAATGGAGGGAAATGGTTCCAAGCCAGGAAAACCCAGGACCTCAATCTCCGAATTATTCGACTCCAAGGACACGAATTCACAGTCTGGGATCTTTGGGGTCTACCGCCCTTCTTCTCACTCTTCCCCATCATTCCCATCTTCGCAGGTAATGCGTGATCAAGAATACAGTGCTTTTGTTTTTTCGGGTCTCTTTATAAAGTTCCTGTTTTTTCTTTCTTCTCTTTGCTGCCTTTGTTTCAGTAGTTCATAAAATTATTGGTTATGGGGAAAGGGGGGAGACAAAAAGAAGAGAAGCATGGCTTGTTGGGGACGATTGTTTAACTAAGTGACTTTCGCATTTGTGTTTCTGGTCGCAGGTGGGTGGGAAAGACTCGCACTCGGAGGCTTCCATGTCATGGAAGAAACAGGGTTCTGAGCATTCAAGTGGGGATTCGCCATACACTCGTGGTTTGTGCAATAGACACAGTCTCTGCAATTATTCTTTGGGTGTTTGATAATTTTTTTACTAGTCTATATTTTTTGCTTACGTTATTCCATTCATTTCCAGTGCATTTTTAATCAGGGATGCTATTGGCTTGTTGGGCCTGTATATGGTGACGGAGAGTTCTTGTGTTTTTTTAGCTGTTGCATCTTCTCTCAAACTTGATTTAAATGATTAAGCATTGAAAATGTTAGTCTTTAATCTTGATTTAAATGATTAAGCATGCAAAATGTTAGTCTTCAGTCTTTTTTCAGTCAATGGACTTCCATTGAAAATTTCAATTTGAAACTAACTAGGGTTTCTAGTATCCAGCTGCAAGGAGAAGATTGACACTTTTTAGGTTTTTTGGTCATGTACTTTCTCAGAAGTATGTTATAACTTTATCTTATAAATGTATCTTGCGCAACTAGTACTTTATTAGTGTTTCTTTGTACTTTTTTTGTGCTTCTTACCCTGTTTTATGCAAATCAGTGTTTTTAAAAATGGATCCGTGGGGTGGACCACCCACCCACCTGGATTGGTGATCTAGCCAAATAAATAAAACAAAAAATTGATATAGTACATACAATCATACCATTTATCATTGTACAAGGAGATCACAATTACTTATAAACCATGCCATGTAAAATTTGTATTTATAAACCATCCCATGTGAAATTTGATAGCTTGGGTGTGTTACAAAGTTTGAAAAAATTCCTTTTGGACCTTGAGCTTGGGTCAATAGAATTAATGAAGCCACCCAATTCTACATCTAATAGTCAACATTAATTGTGATTACCTTGTACAAAAGGTAAGTGGTCTCATTATATACTTTTCCACTATATTATATATAAATTTTCATGCAAAACTAATAAAGTGATATTGGCAAATTATCAAAATAAATAAATAAAGTGATATTGGCTAGACATTGAGGTTAATTACCATAAACTTGAAAGGTCGATTCGAACATCCCCTTTTTATAAGGTACAAAAGTAAAACTATATAAATATATGATTGTCATATATGACTCATATAATACTCGGCACTAAAATTCAATAGGGAAAAGCATGCATGGAGGGTAGTCGAACCCCAACCTAAAACATAGTGTCCGTGTGCACTACCAAAAAGACAATGTAAGCTTTATTGAGTAATTTGAGTTATATAAATTTTAAAATAATATAGAAGTGAACCACCAATTCAGACCAAGAATCGGTGTGTTCCCTGGCAATTCCCAATCCGTATCAGTGATTCTGATTCAGATCATTGATTTTCTTAACACTAGTGCAAATATTAGAGTAATCTTTATCAGGGCTAGAGCAAAGATTTTAAGGCTAGATGCCATTTATTTTTGCAGAGAATAGTTCTCGTGGTCATGGAAGTGAAAGTCGAGCTCTTCCGGGCAAGGATCAGAACCCAGGTCGTCAGGATGATCATGGAGAACGCTGTGTTTTTAGTTCATCGCTCTACTATGGTGGTCGAGATGTATATGCTCCCTCCCAGAATGACCACACCTCTGGAGCTCCAAAGACTGTAAGTGTTCTATTTGTTGATCGACCACTAGAATATGACTTATTAGAAATTAGTAAATTCACTAGCATTTCGTCTTTCAAGCTCTGAAGGTGTTGTTTATTTTTATTGCGCAGTATAAGAAGGATGGAGCAGATGATGATCCTACTATGGGTGGTTCTAGCGGTGCCTCAAGGGGAAATTGGTGGCAAGGTATAATATAGAGGTGTACTTTGTAATAGTTTTAAACTAGAAATAATGAATGGCTTGCTAATGATCATTTGGAATTTGCTTTCCTTAGGATCTTTGTATTACTGAGCCATCGCCGCTAGAGAAGTATATGCTTGCTTCACTTGGGTGGTGAGTATGTCGTAAAATTCTATATTAGGTTATGTTAATCCGACAAAAAAGAGTCATTATGGATCTAGCAAACAACATCATGGCCTCATTCATTTATCCATGTTAATTTTTTTAAAAAATTGTACTTTGTTTTCTTCCTATTCACAACGAATTTCATTGTTTTTCTTCTTTCAGGGGCTTCCATGCTACTTTGGAGTAGAGAATATCAATACAGCATATAAGAACAGCTGACTAAATCAAGCAAGCATAAAGCTTGTTTTTTCAAGACTTATAGAAGCATCATATTATGTTGTGCCTTAGCTACTTTTTTAACATGGAACTGCTACATGTATCCAAAGAATTTTAGTTTTGGAGATACCGAGCTGTCATAATAGTGGCCTTACTAGACCATGTAGGCCTTGAAGTTTTGACCCAAGGGACTTGTAAAGCAGTGGTTGTTTCTAAGTATTCGTGAATGTGTGGTTAGAGCCAAGTGCTTGTATATACAATGAACTTTATATAATATATGTGTGTGCGCGCACATTTGTGTGTATATCGGGTATTCTAATCTCTTGTTATGTATGCATGTGAACAGTTGATAAAGAAAGACTGTATATGAAGAGTATAAATAAATAAGTGCAATTGAATATTGCAAATGAATTAGAATTTTAAAGTGTAATCTAGATACTAGATAGCATCTTTAAGTGATGAGGTTGACTCTTCTCCTTCAAGGTCATTTTGGGGATAAGTTAGCAATGGAGCACCGTGGGGCTCGCACAAATACTTCGTCCTATGTATTACATAAGGTTTATTGGCTGAAGTTCACAATTAAATAAAATTTTACTTCCTTAAGTAAAAAGGTAATTTTCTTTCTACATATTCTATTATTATTAGACTTTTTTTGATTGACTAACAACGCCTCAAACCCGACAAGCTTTGAAGAGTTCTATATATCTATATCTAAAAAATAAAGTGGTGTGGTTAGGTTATTGTAAACCTCAATTCAAAGACTAAAGCTTTACAAAAAATCTCCATCATGTAAGGCTTATCAAGATTGCGTAGCATTGACTTTGAATTGTACTTCTCTTTTGTCATATAGATGTTGATTCAGTTCTACTTCCCATGGGCTGCCTTCTCATTTACCAAGCATGAAGGAAATGAAATGCTATCGGTGCAATAATCCAAGTTACGAACATGTCCCAATTGTATGATTGATTGGCATGTATCTTTGAACTTTCATACCTCATCTTCTATGAGTACACTTTTTAATATTTCCTTATCCCCAACCCTAGGCCTCAAAAAAAAAAGATGCTTTCTTTTTAACACTTTGCTTATGACCTTTCCTTTTCCTTTCGATAAATGTGATGTACACATTTATCTATTGTTCTGAAAGATCTTCAGACACATAATGTTTCTTAAAGGTGTCCAACTTGAGAAGTTATACTAACTTCGGCATGATCTTGTCCATTCTTTGAAGGCATCTATCTAGCACTGTGTCTCAATTGCTAGATGGGAAAACAATCCAGTCCACATCTAAAGGACTATCCTATGAAAGCATATTTGGATTTTATATGGTATCTTCCAAAATGTTACCACATACTAATTCATATTCTGTTTCATATAAACAACATCTAGATTTATTCTTGAATTCATTCTTTGGATGTGATGTCTATGTGCTTAATAAGAAATCTCCACGCTGAGAAATCTTTTTAAAAGATCAAAAGTTGCATCATTGCTGGGCATTTTGATCATTACGAATGCTAATGGTCTTTTTAGCCTCAATGTTTGGTCTCTCTCCATGTTATTTCACCTAACGAGAATGCTATACTCCATGGAATTTCATGTGGTGGCTTACATTAATAGTTTGACTGTTAGTTCCATATTATCTGCTACAAATACCATGACAAGCATAGTGCATTTGCTCATTTTGCCTACATTTATAAAAAGTTTCTTTATGTTTCCTTGTACACATGACGTGGTATGCACAACCGTCTTGTTTTGAGTTTAGTATGTCTTCAGTGAGTTATCTTGGATTATGATGTCCTTTTTTGCCTAATAGTGGCAAAAAGCAAAAATATAGAAAGGCACTCGTTCAACACTAACCTCAAGAAGTTGGTTATATTTTCCCGAGTTAATATTATGATCCACTAAATTAATCTCATGAAGATAACAAAATTTTCTTTTCGTTTTGTTGTACACATGACATGGTATCCACAACCGTATGGTTTGAGTTTAGCATATCCTCAGTGACATGGTATCCATATGATTGTGCCACAAGATAATATATGCTAGGTTGGAGAATGATGGCTTGTAGAAATCATTTTTGCATTTTAGGAGACCCGAGACCGCCATTTTTGCATCCAAAATGATATATAAAATCAATTAAAAACATATAAATGTTGAAAACGGCATACTGCAAGGCAAACTTATTTGGTGTTAGAATGACTCCCTCGTCTCACCCCTCTCATCCCTCCCCCCCCCCTCCCCGATTTGAGCTTGGGTCAATAGAATAAATGAAGCCACCCAATTCTATATCTAATAGTCAACATTAATTGTGATTACCTTGTACAAAAGGTAAGTGGTCTCATTATATATGTTTCCAATTTATTATATGTAAATTTTTATGCAAAACTAATAAAGTGATATTGGCTAGACATTGAGGTTAGTTACCATAAACTCGAAAGGTCGATTCGAACATCTCCTTTTATAAGATACAAAAGTAAAATTATATAAATACATGACTATCATCTATGACTTATATAATACTCGGTACTAAAATTCAATAGGAAAAAGCATGCATGGAGGGTAGTCGAACCCCCAACCTAAAACATAATGTCAGCATGCGCTACCAAAAAGACAATGTAAGCTTTAGTGCACAATTTGAGTTTTATAAATTTTAAAATAATATAGAAGTGAACCGGTGATTCAAACCAAGAATCGGTGTATTCCTTGGCAATTCCCAATCCGTATCGGTGATTCCGATCCAAATAAGTGATTTTCTTAACACTGGTACAAATATTAGAGTAATCTTTATTAGGGCTAGAGCAAATATTTTAAAGCTAGATGCCGTTAGTTTTTACAGAGAATAGTTCTCATAATCATGGAAGTGAAAGTCGAGCTCTTCCTGGCAAGGACCATAACCCAGGTTGTCAGGATGATCATGGAGAACGATATATTTAGCTCATCCTTCTACTATATGCTCCCTCCCAGAATGACAACACGTCTAAAGCTCCAAAGACTATAAATGCTCTATTTGTGACCACTAGAATATGATTTACTAGAAATTAGTAAATTCACTGACATGTCTTCTTTCAAGCTCTAAAGGTGTTGTTTATTTTTATTGCGCACTATAAGAAGGATGGAGTAGACGATGATCCTACTATAGGCGTTTCTAGCGGTGCCTCAAGGGGAAATTGGTGGTAAGGTATAATATAGAGGTGTGCTTTGCAATAGTTTTAAACTGGAAAGAATGAATGGACTGCTAACAATCACTTGGAGTTTGCTTTCTATATGATCTTTGTATTACTGAGCCATCGCCGCTAGAGCAGTATATGCTTGCTTCACTTGGGTGGTGAGTATCTCCTAAAATTTTATATTAGGCTATATTAATCCGACAAAAAAGAGTCATTCTAGATCTAGCGAACAACAACATGACCTCATTCATTTATCCATGTTAATTTTTTAAAAAAATTATACTTTGTTTTCTTCCTATTCACAACTGATTTCATTGTTTTCTTCTTTCAAGGGCTTTCATGCTACTTTGGAGTAGAGAATATCAATACAACATATAAGTACAATTGACTAAATCAAACAAGCATTGAGGCTATTTTTTCAAGACTTATAGAAGCATCATATTTTGCCGTGCCTTAGCTACTCTTTTAATGTGGAACTGCTACATGTATCCAAAGAATTTTAGTTTTGCAGATACCGAGCTGTAGGCCTTGAAGTTTTGACCCAATGGACTTGTAAAGCCGTTGTTGTTTTTAAGTATTAGTGAATGTGTGGTTAGGGCCAAGTGCTAGTATATACAATGAACTTTATATAATATATGTGTACTCACGCACAATTGTATGTATATCAGGTATCCTGATCTCTTGTTCTGCATGCATGTGAACAGTTGATAAAGAAAGACTCTATATAAAGAGTATAAATAAATAAGTGAAATTGAATATTGCAAATGGATCATAATTTTAAAGTGTAATCTAGACACCAGAGAGCATCTTTAAGTTATCAGGTTGGCTCTTCCCCTTCCACAAAAGTCATTTTGGAGATAAGTTAGCGATGAAGTCCCGTGGGGCTCACACAAATACCTTGTCCTGTGTGTTACATAAGGTTTACTGACTGAAATTCACAATTAAATAAAACTTTACTTGCTAAGTAAAAAGGTAACTTTATTTCTGCGCATTCTCTTATCATTAGACTTTTTCTGATTGACTAAAAGCACCTCAAACCCGGCAAGCTTTGAAGAGTTCTATATATCTATATCTAAAAAAATGAAGTGGTGCAGTTAGGTTATTTTAAACCTCAATTCAAAGACTAAAGCTTTCCCGAAAATCTCCATCATGTAAGGCTTATGAAGATTGCGCAGCATTGACTTTGAATTGTACTTCTCTTTTGTCATATAGATGTTGATTCAGTTCTACTTCCCCATGGGCTGCCTTCTCATTTACCAAGCATGTAGGAAATGAAATGCTATCAATGCAATAATCGAAGTTACCAACATGTCCCAATTGTATGATTGATTAGCATGTATCTTTGAACTTTTATGCCTCATCGTCTCTGAGTACACTTTTTATTGTTTCCTTATCCCCAACCCTAGGCCTAAAAAAAAAGATGCTTTCTTTTTCATAGTTTGCTTATGACCTTTCCTTTTCCTTTCGATAAAGGTGATTTACACGTGTATCTATTGTTTTAAGGATTTTCAGACGCATAATGTTTCTTAAAGGTGTCCAGCTTGAAAATTTATACTAACTTCAACATGACCATGTCCATTCTTTGAAGGCATCTATCTAGGTATGTGTCTCAATTGCTAGATGGGAAAACAATCCAGTCCACATCTATAGGACTGTCTTATCTTCCAAAATGTTACCACATACTAATTCATATACTGTTTCGTATAAACAACATCTAGATTTATTCTTGAATTCATTCTTTGGATGTGATGTCCATGTGCTTAATAAGAAATCTCCACGCTGAGAAATCATTTTTAATAGTTTGACTGTTAGTTCCGTATTATCCGCTACAAATACCATGACAAGCATAGTGCATTTGCTCATTTTGCCTACATTTATAAAAATTTTCTTTATGTTTCCTTGTACACATGACGTGGTATGCACAACCGTCTTGTTTTGAGTTTAGTATGTCTTCAGTTAGTTATCTTGGATTATGATGTCCTTTTTTGCATAATAGTGGCAATAAGCAAAAATGTAGAAAGGCACTCGTTCAACACTAACCTCAAGAAGTTGGTCATATTTCCCCAAGTTAATATTATGATCCACGAAGTTAATCTCATGAAGATAACAAAATTTCCTTTTTGTTTCCTTGTACACATGA